TGCATGGTTCAATATAGTTTTCTGACATAAAGCAAAAAAAAAAGTTACTTGTTAGAGTGGCTCTTGGTCTATTACCTTACACACTAGGTGTGTGCGGAAAAGTAAAAGACCTTCTTTTTACACCACTCCTTCTGGATTTTTTAAATGTTGTATTACAAAACTTGTCAGAAAAATGAAAAAATCCAAACAAAGCACTTTTCAAAACAATTTGAACAAAAATGAGATTATTATCATACAATTGGATAGATAAGCAATATACAACGCTTTTTTGTTGATTTATGAATCCCCTCTCCCTCAGTGCGCATGTATGTTTTGTTTCATAAGAATACACAACCGAAATACATACACGATGCATTGGCTCTGGTTCCTCGATTAGTTCATCCAAATTTCCTGAAATGGCACGTTTCAATTCAGGTCCAGCTTCATGCAGAGTTCGTAAGCCGGCTTGAAGTGTCACAGTATTATTTAAGTCTCCAGAGCCTTCTTTGTGTTCTTGTTCTTTGCGTTTTTTGAAACGGCGGAAGTAGTCTTGAATTAAGAATGTTGCATAGAATTTACCAACAGTAACTTCGTCATCGACACCTGGTGGTGGTACCACTTGATCAAGCAGCTTTGGATTGGTTCGCTTCCAAATTTGTTTGATAACAGCACGAAGTTCGGTGTTTGCATCGTCAATATTACCTTCCGTTTTAATTTTCAAGGATGTTCGTACAACGGCAAACAATGTTGCATTAAAAAGAACTGTTCCATCACTATTCAATGGCATATTCATTGAAACCAGACGCTTACAAGCAACTCGATGTGGACATAGTTTGCCGAAACCCAGTGGTGGTGATATTTTTCTCAGTAATGTGACCACATCTAAATGTTTAATGCGACCTTTTGCATCTGGATCATATTCGCTCCACAAACGAATAAATTCATCGAGATGATGTGGTCCCAAAATCGACCAATCACGCGTCAAATAATCGAAGTTATCCATGATTACTGCCACAAATAAATTGATAATCAAAAAGGAACACAATACATAAAACGAAATAAAATACGGAAATGCGGCGGGTGAACCACAATTTTCACCTCTCTCATTCTCATCTTCACAATTTCCTATATCATCACTTGCACAAGCCATCATTATTTCTTGCCACGATTCGCCCGTGGCTGAACGAAATAGAACCAGCACGGCTTGTGGAAACGTGCGAAAATTATTATTTCGAGTTATATATTCATCATTAAATACAAGTTTGCCGAATAGCTGAAAATAAACAGATAATAAAAGACTAAAAATATTAAAATGCCATAAGATAAGAATGTGTATCACAGGTATACCTGCATTCCAATAACCGCGTAAATAAAGAATAACATCACTATAAGCAAAGCAACGTACGGAAGCGCTTGGAACGATTTTATAAATGTCCACAATAATGTTCGAATACCTTCTCCTCGGCTCAACAATTTTACCAAACGCATAACACGAAACAGTCGGAAGAATAGCGTTATCGAAATACCCTGCCACAAATATATGTAACATTTAAAGTAATTATAGAAATTAATATAGGGTAGCGTGGGGAACTGTGAAACAGTCATTTTCTTTTCGAAAATGACATCTTTGATACATATAATAGCTTAAGCTACTATCATAGTCTTCTATTTTACCAAGCTCATTTTTCACTAGAGCTCGATACGTGTAGACATACTATTTTGTTCTCGACGACAACCACTTGAAAAAATTGATTTTTTTAACCTGAAACCCAAAAATTCGGCTTCAGCATGCCAGAAAACCTCTGGAAAATGTTTTTTCCAGATGCCCTCCGAGACAATTTTCACAAAAAGTAAGATCCCCCATTTGGGGTCAAATACTATGAGACTATGGGTTATTTTGAATTTTTTATGTGAAAATTGTCTCGGAGGGCATCTGGAAAAAACATTTTCTAAAGGTTTTCTGGCATGCTGAAGCCAAATTTTTGGGTTTCAAGTAAAAAAAAATCAGGGATTAAGGGGTTATGACCCTCGACCCTCTAGGGGGTGGGGGGAGTTGGAGGACTCATCATTCTGAACAACTTTGTAGAACATAATTTTTTGATCCGATGATAAAATCGACATCAACAGAAAAAAATTAGAAAAAAAAGAAGAAAACGATCATTTTTGCCAGTTTTTGTATGGAAATCGTATCAAAACGTTATTATATGGCAAAATAAATGTCAAAAATGGATTCCTCAACCCCAAGAACCCCCGCCCTAATTATATATATTTTATTGTTATTTTTTAATAAAAATGCTATTTGTCTCATTTCAAAGGCACAAGAAAGTATATTTAAGTGTTGAAATACCAAAAATTGTGATGTGTGCGATCGAGCCGTTCATTTGGCATGTGTCAATGCAGCCTTCTTCACGTGCCCAAATTGCGAATCAGATTAATTTCAATCATCTCATTTTTTTTTTAAATTTATTTTGTCATTTCCAAAAATTCAATAAAAATTTTCTATTTCATTTTTCAACCTTAAAACTTATTTATTCTATATTGAAACTAATTTTTAAGTCATTTACAACCATTTGATACACATTTTTCATCGTTTTTTACCTAATTTCTTCGGTGTTCTGTTGAGAAATCTAAATTTTAATTTATCCTAAATTTATAACTTTACATTGATATCACAAAGAGTCGAAAATTGAATTTAACAAAAATTAAACTTTCTTACTTGAATGCATTTCAAGACAACTCTGCGTCTCATCATCAGCATCACGACTGAAACGCTGGTGTAGACATTGGTTAGTACATAGCTCTTTACACAAAACACTCACAGGAGATAACGGTGATTTAAAAACAAAAACACGTGGTAACAACAACAAAGTCTATCATATTGGTCAATTGTACACTATATAAGAGAAAAGAGGCACGACTCAATATTGCCTCTGTCTTGGTGCAATGAATTGTCATCTTTTTGTATAAAAAACGCCTCTTATGCATCAAGTTGGCTCTCTTTGTTTACTTGTTTAACCAAACGTACACTATCAATTGTGATACCGTCGTGTTCATCATTCAGCACATGAGATGCTATCGCTAATTTAAACGGTTGGTTCAAGCTAACACATTAACAGTGGTCTTTAAAACGTATTTTGATACTTCTTTTTGTTTGTCCATAATATATGCGTTTACAAATGCTACACTCGTTGCTTTTCTTGTTCAGAGTTTTGAGTGAAGAATGTTGTCATATTCGAAACATGTACTTTTTTCGAATGTTTACTGATTAAATTATCAATCATCACTGCACTAAAACCATTTACAGGGGCTCTTAAATTTATTTCAAACGCTGACAATTCCGACATTAAAGGGCTCAAAGGATTACCCATACTGGTTCCATGTGTGACTTTATATATTTTCGCCCGAAATCGAAAATAACTTTGATCCATGCATTGTTGAAAATAATTAAATGTGAATGATATTATTGGTTACTCGATAAATGAGTTGATTTCGAAAATAAATATGAACAATATTTGAGCAAAGTATTTTATCAAATTATATGCACATGCACGAAAACCTAAAGCAGTAAAAATGCTGAACCAGATCAACTCTCCTGCAGACAGTTCATAATAATAACAGATCCAGACAGTATGGGCCTCTCAGGCCCACCGTACAAAATGTATGGAAATAATTTCAAAATGATAAATCCAATATCAATTTTGATTTTTTTTTTCTGTTTTTATTCGATGAAAATGAAAAAAACGAGATGAATAAATAGAAACATAAATAAAAGTATTGAATAAATGTAAAAAAAATTAATTGGAATCGAAAGAATCAGTTTTGTGTGTGCGTTTTTTTCCACATTGTGTACACAAAATCGTCATGGTTGAATGTTCACCGCAAACGTTTTTGTTACATTTGCCACAACAAGTTTTTGTTTTTCGACCGAGTGAAGCTGGACATAAATGACATCGACGTCTTTGAGATGTAGAGTTTGTCGATGGTTCTTCAGAGACTTCTGGAATGTTCAAATGTTGGCGAACTTGATTCAAAACTACTTGATGTTCCATGTCCATGCCACGAGTCGATCTGCGAGCAATTTGATCGTAAACCAATGATTCAGACAGTTCAAGTAGAAATTTTTGTACTTGCACAAAGTTTAACTCAATAAAGTATGTAGCATAATTTATGTCACTTTCGTAATTTATATTGCGAACTCAAAAAAAGCCTTCCACTAACAGAGCTAAATGAAATATTCGTTCACCAAAGAAAATAAGAAAACTGAACGGAACGTTTTATTGCTACTATTTCATATGTATTATACACGAGTCCGTTGGCTTTGTGGTCGCGACCGCATTAGTATGTGCAATCATCACACATTGAAATTTTTTTGGACATACGCACCACCTATACGGCTGCGCTACGTGTCCGATCTTCACTTACGTGCACCTATTGAATTCGTATAAAACCATTGGAGACAGAAAACAATAAAAAAATAGAATTTGTTTGCAAAATTTTCTCTAAATACATGGATTTCCATACATTTTGTATGGTGGGCCTGAGAGGCCCATACTGTCTGGTTGAAGTGAGATTTTGGTTTTTGTCGAATAACAATTTTTTATAATTTAATATTTTACCGTTATATATTTTTTTATTTATGTATCGATATCATTAGCTTAACGCGCAAGTTTCAAGAAAATTGATTTAGTAGTTTGGATTTTATTCAATTTTTTATGAGTTGCTGGGCCTCATAGACCCATTCTGTCTGCAGGAGGGTTAATAATACTTTGAAATACGAATATTAATTGTTCAAATAATTGTATATAAGACCCACAATTATCAATAAAGTTTTTAGTTCAGAATAACCACTGATCGTTTTCTAACATGTTCCACAATTCCCCACAAATTTTAAAAATATCAAAAATCGAAATTTCTTGTCATTATTTGGATTTTTTCGAAAAAAAAAAATAATTTCAAAAAACTGTTACCGCCAAAAGTTAGGTATGTTAACATAGTAACGCATTCAATTTGATTTTTTTTTAAATGTTTATAATTGTGGAAGTTATGATGGTCAAAAAAAGTGTGTACCACAATTCCCCACACTACCTTAAATATAATTTTTCAAGATTTATTGAAAAGTAAATAAAACTTACTTTTTGATTATGGTCTTTATTACTTTCGTCTTCTTTTCGAGAAATTTCTGAAATCATGATATCGATGAAACTTCCCAAGACCACAATAAAATCAAACACATTCCATGCATCACCAAAATAATTCTAGTGGAATAGAAAAGTTAAAAATTATATTATATATGTATACTTTCAACAGTGATTAAAAAAGCAAAAGCAGCTTTGAACAATGCAAAAAATAAAGAAGCTAAATTTCGTACACGTCCCGAGTGGAAAAAAAGTGACTAAGTTACTATTGACTGTAAGTGACTATAGTTAGCTATATTCATGAATTTTAAAATTTTGTATGGAAAACAATCGACTATAGTTACTTAGTCAGTCAGGCAGATATTTTTGGACGTTCTGACTATCGGGTGACTATGATTATTGTCAACTATAGTTAGCTGTTGCAGTTAACCATAGCTTACTTTAATTGATTGAAGTTAACTAAATTTAACTAAGGTTGCTTGTTTTTACAGTCAATAGTCAGTCAGTTTGTCCCAAAATAGTCAGCCACTTTTTTTGTACACGGGGTACTTTAATTTTTTTAAACATAGATCTTTGATATTCGCAACAAAATTTCAAGTCATGTAATTGAAAAATGCTTTTAATATTCCTGAGACAGTCAAATCAATAGTCCAAATTTCATGAAATTTAAAAAGTTCTAATGCAATAATCCGTTTGAAAACTTCTCAGGAATTATAATCATTGTAGACCAAGAGCCACTCCAACAAGTAACTTTTTTTTGCTTTATGTCAGAAAACTATATTGAACCGTGCAGCTAGACATACACTAAACAAATAATTTTACGTCTGTCATTACA